TCACCAGACATGAACGTCTTGGACCTCGGGTTCTTCAGGGCCATCCAGTCGCTGCAGCAAACCCATCACTCCAACACCTACCAAGAGATTGTTGACGCGACAAACCAAGCATGGGAAGACATAGATACGTGGTCGCTGGAGCGCAACTTCCTCACCTTGCAGTGCTGTCTCCGCGAGGTGATCATGTGTGCCGGCGAAAACTCCTACAAGATTCCCCATATGAAGAAGGTTGCGCTCAAGAAGTGCGGAAGGGTACCGGAGTCCATTTCATGTGGCCAAGACGTGTTCGACACTGGGTGCGCCTTGCTTGCCCAGCAGGACTTGGTCGCTGTTATGCGCGACCTGGCCATACAAACGCGAGCTGATTTGAAAATGAACGACATCTTGACAGCGCTTGAAACCGTTGATCTCGATGAAGAGAGTGTTGGTGATGCGTCAAAATTTAATTCACATTGTGTTTGAGTATTGAAATTCAATATTTATTTAATTTAAACATTTATTTAAATACCTTAATATTTGTATGGTGAAGTCTAATTATTTGTTATATTTGTAGGGGCTCTCTTGTGGCGGGTTTATTTCGGTCCTTTGACAATTTCGAAGTGGTGGGTTTATTTCGGGCCGGAGGTAGTATGCTGTACTAACGTTTGCCTGGAGGAGTTTTGGAGTGCTGAGGATGCCCAGTTGGCCAAGTCATCGTGTCCGATGATCTCGGTTTCTGTCTCCCGCCTTCCACGCGCATTCATCATATGCTGACACCGAAGCAAGGAATACCAAACTTTCACCAATATAGTGAGCTTTTGTCCAATTCAATGACACGAGCACCATGCGCAAAATAACTAAGTTATGCATAAAATTGAACATCATTGGGAATTTCTCTCAATACTATCCCCACATTGATATGTATCAATGGATGGATGACGCCTGCGTCACAATCGTTAAACTTACGCACCAAAGCATAAGGAGACACTGTCGAGAAGTAGCTGTAACGTCGGCTCTCAGTGATTGGCCGAACCCTCAGTGAACAGCCGAGCTCTAGCACCCAATAGAATCGCAAGAATCTTGTGATTGGTTGAAATACGTTACTCCAATAACTAAATCCCTCATAATTTTATGGTGGGAATATACACTAGAATTCACAGTCAGATGCAACACGTGTGTCAAACTGAAAAATGCCGCCAAGAACCCTGTACACACCCGATGAGATTGCAGCCGCAGTGAGCGACGCGAACAAGTAGCAACACACCATTCTATCCGCTGTCATAGCATATGGTATCCCTCAACGAACGTTACGCACATACGTGACAAGAGCCAAATCCGGTTCTACAACGACCTGGATCTTAGCTATGCAGCAAGATGGTCATCCTGTTGGACGCCAATCCATCATGCACAAAGCCAGCCAGATGATGACCATCGTGCACGATCTCAACCAGCCTTACCAACTATCATCTGGGTGGTATGAGCGTTTCTTGTGTGGCCATTCTGAGTTGAAGACCGGGAAATCTCGAATCCTGAGCAAGGCGCGCAATAGCTTTGACGTGGATACCGTTGTCGACTTCTACCACGAGCTCGTGCATTCCATGTCTCTAGTAGGCTTCGAACACTCGCGCGTGTACAACATGGATGTGACCAGCTTCAGTCCAAACAAGGTGTCAAGGAATGTGGTTGTGCATCG